CCCCCCCCCGTATGTAATGCTACAAAGGGTGCCGTTATATGGTATGGGTCCTAACCATTAGCCAGTTTCCCAATAATACAATTTCAAACTGATATTTATTGTTGAAAACAGTAATCATCAGCTTTAGAGTTGGTAGTCATATTTCCCAGCTATCACCAGCCAGAATGTAGAAAGCTTCGGACATTTGGAAGGGAAAATATCAAGGAATTCTAACCAACATCTTTCATTGGCAGCTCAATCATAAAACAACAACAATATGATTTTATTAGCAGTCGTTACAGATGTTTTTCATAACTGCACACAGATGCTTCACTGGTTATTACTGACATAAAAGCTGAGCAGACAAAACAACACGATCCGGGTCACATTTCTCAGTCCCTGCTCACGGCTCATCAACACACCCCGACACTATGTTGATTACAGGGTCTGGTTATGATTTTGGGCTGATATAGTTCCATAGTTTTCAGACTTGGCTTCACAGTTCACTCTGGAGCTGCACAGCGAGTCCTGCACAGCTGAAACGGCGGCGGGGAGAGTTCAAAAGGAAACCGTTAAAAGTGAACGCGCCTCCATATTTATCGCCGGCGCAACGTCAACGTTTATGTTGAGATTTGCGGCTGTGAGTTTGTCGAAAACCTCTCTGGTTCAGATCAAGCGCCGCTCTGAGCTTTTTGCCGAGTCGGCTGTTTTTGTCGGCTGTTAAAGATTGAGTCAACAGAGGGAGGTGGGGGTGGGGGGGGAGTGGCTGCGGAAGGTCAATTGGCTGGTGTTGCTGAGCTCAGTAGCTCCTTGGTTCTGTGTTGTTTACTGAGGCCAGCCAGCTCCCCTCCTGACACAGATCTGCTCCACTCACTCTGAGAACTGTGTGTGTGTGTGTGTGTGTGTGTGTGTGTGTGTGTGTGTGAGAGTGAGAGAGAGAGAGAGTGTGATGGTTAGCCGGCTGATCCCCTCCTGTCTCATTCCTTTTCAGATCGAGGAAATGAAGCAGCTGCGATGCAAAAACAGGTTACTGCAGATTGACATCGACTGCCTCACCAAAGAAATTGATCTCCTTCAAACCAGAGGTATGATTCTCTCTGATACATAATCACAGATATGTTCTCTTACACTCAGCGCTCGGCTCATATCTCATACATGTCTGGGTTGAATGATAATAACAGCAAGTCACTGAGTGAGGGAGACCAGATTCTGATCCAGGGTCCGCAGCTGCTCACATCCTCTCCGCACACACACACACACACACACACACACACTCAAGGTGCTGCCATTGTGCTGTTAACTACCAGCTCTTCCTGAATTGCGTCCGGTCGCTGGTCGGTAACGAGGGATTTATTGGCCCCCTGGCAGCACTCCACTGCTGACAGAACCCGAGCCGCTGACCAGCAGCTTCACACAGGTGAAGGAAAGCCAAGAGGCTGCTCACAGGAATGAATGGCAGCCGTCGCACGCCTGCTGGTTCCTGCGGTTTAATGTCAGACATAAACTGTGGCCAGCTAGGATGTCAAGTCATAGTCAGAAGGCATTTTCAGGTTGGCGCACGCCTCGTTTTGGCCTTTGTCATAGCTCAAAAACTGACATTCATAGAAAAGTTTGGTCTCCTTTTGTAACTGAGCACGTGCAGAAGTCCCAAAATAGCCAAAATGATGCACTATCTGAGATGAATAAATCCCACCATCTTGACTGTAAGTGAGCCGGGGGGGACAACTGGGTGAGATTCGACTCCTCATAGAGACACACCTAGCGCACCTCGCCATGTTTAAGACGCGACCGCTTTATATTCTCACTTTAATATCATTACAGTACAGACGATCATCGGTTGTTTCACATCTTCTATGTCGACTTGTTGGCTTGTTAATCCGAACACGTGTGTTGAGTTAGAGTTGGAGTGTGTGTGTGTGTGTGTGTGTGTGTGTGTGTGTGTGTGTGTGTGTG